GTACACGTATGATGATTTATTATTTCAAAATTAGTTTTATGATAAATGGAAAATATTGTTTTTCTGTACTATTATCCTGTATATACATTTTTTCACTTGTTATTTATATTTTTGAATATTGTATGTATGTATGTGTTCGTGTATATAAACAATATTCAACATATATTGTTTGTAGTGTAATCTGTGTACATTAATTAATTAAAAATTTTAATTTCTATTTTTAGTAATTTAATTAAATTCTTATCAATATTATAGCATATTATGAGTATTATGTATTATATAATTCACGCTAATTTTATGTGTTAAATTGGAAACAAAATTAATATGCATTTTACTAAACAATTATAACTACAAATTTTAAATAGTAACTAAATAAAGTGAGTAATTAATCATGAATTAAAGGTTTAAAAACTAAGCGTATTGTCACTTTTTGTTATATATTTTGCAAATATTTTTGAAGTTCGAATATTTTTATTTGTGGTTAGTCGATTAATTTTTAAATGTTTTTATTATCATGTATATTTGCTCTTATTAAGAAGGGTCACCTATTTAATGACATAATTAGTAATTAATATTAAGCATGGCAGAGCCATTATTCCCACTTATATGATTGGTATTTAAAATCATCTATATAAATGAACTCATAACTGCAAAATTTTTGACCCATAAAAAGAAATGTGTTTCGTAAAGCTAAGTAGTTCCCAAACTTTGTTTGATCAAGGATCATAATGATATTATTGGTTATTGTAGGGATCACAAAGTTTAAGAATCATAAATTGTATGATTATTTTAATATGCTTTATGCATATCTGGTGTAATGCATAATGAATTGTATAAGTACTAAGGTTAATTATGTAGGCTATATAAATAGGTATATATTTACTTGCAAATATTTTGTGCTTATTTTCTACGAGTGAGATCTCAGTGGACAAACTGTAAGCTATGTATCCATTTGATTCGCGGATCATTTTTAACCAACTCGCGGACTACCGGGATCCATTGGAAACCACTAGTATAGGTTAGTTAGTTACCACCTAATATGATAATAATGAAAAAATGTTGAAGTCCAAAAATTTAGTTTAAATTATTTAGATATATTATTAAGATATATCTTATATTTAACATACGTAGTTTAAATAAATTTAAGTAAATAAATTCTTGACTATTCAGTTGTTTTTGATACTACTACATATCGATTATCAGAGATTTTTATCAGATATTTAAGTTTACGTGTATAATGTATAATTTTTGGACTGTACGATTCAGAAATTAAACCTGTAAAATGAATTCTTGGGCTGTTCAGACAGTTGTTTCGAATACAACTGCATAGTCATGAATAGTAATCTTTGAAAATGTGTAATGGATTATTACATTACACATGGATTATATAATATTTTGAACTGCAAGTTTAATGATTTTTACTCAGCAAATCAACTCTTGGGTTGACCATACAGTTTTTCTAGATACAACTACATAGTCATCATCAGTAATTGTTCGAAAAACTATTAAAATTAATTGTAACATATATCATTTTTTGAACTGTAAGTTTTAGGCACTGATTCCTCAAAATGGATTTTTAGACTGACCATAAAGTTGTTTCGGTTACAACCACATATCGATCATCACGGATTGTTGGAAACATCTATTAGTTTATCTACATGTTTATTTTTTTATACATATTTTTTGCACTGTATGTTTCAGAAATTGGATCCTGTAAAATTTGATATTTGGATTACTCTATTAACACAGAAAGCCAATGTGTAACTAATATGAATAATGCTAGTCTCTTGGTTAATATATTATCTTTCTTTCTAAACTGTTTTTGTACATTCGAGTATTTAGCTTACTCATATTACTTTAGAATGATTCGCTTTTTGGGTTGCTAACTTATTGCTTCAGAATCATTCACTTTTCGGACTTTATAGTTTACACTTTGCGTATGTATTCACGAATGCTTAAATGCGTTAATTTGTGATAAGTTGGCTTATGTATGAACCCTTTTTATGTAAGGTGTGGAACAGCACGACTATTATACATTACAATTCTTTTTTGCCAAATTGGTGTTAAAATTATGTACTTTATCGAACCTTTTGCATGACTTCAGGCCACTTGAACTCGTTTAAAAGGATACTTTTTGTGTATCATTCACTCTCTCGCGTGTATCAGTAGTTGAAAAAAAATGCTATTTTAACAATAATAAAAGCTTTTATTTCACATTTGCAATTTATAAAACAAAATTTAATTAAATAATTTGACAGTCATTAAATCAATTCGCTTAAATGGAAAAGTCTGGCACAATTGGCGAGTTGATTAAAAGTTAATCATTTTAATGATTACGGTCAATAAATAATCAAAAAAAAAAAACAAAATCAAAAAAAAAACTGTATTGAAGGGAAAATGGAAATTCTCTTTATACGAAATATGAAAAATATGCAAATGCGGAAAAGCGTGTTGAAGTGAAAAGCTCATTGGATTTAATCGAGTTTTTCGTCAGTCCCATCAGTGATAAAAACTGTAGTTAGAACATAATAAATAAAAAAATAAATAAAAATGATATAAAATATATAAAGCAGTAAAAGTGAAAATGGCAAACATATAAGAGAATAAAAAGAAAAAAATAGAAATAACTGTAAACAAAAGATACAAACGAATGGAACTGAAAAAATGCAAACAAAGCCATGGAAGATTTATTGGTACTGGCGAAGTCAATATATGGTAAAGCGCAAAAGTAATAATCAAAATAAAATATCCATCAATTTCAATATATTAGATTGAGGCAATTTGTTGCAATTGGACTGAATTGAAGTGCTAGTGAATATTTTTCACATATTTGAACTACTTTTATTTTATTAAAAAAAAAAAATATATAGCATACATAATTCACTTTTTTTTTTATAAAATTTAAAATAATTTTTCAACGTTCGTATTTTAACTTTATTAAATATGTGTAATGCTGTTTTCAAAGTAAATATTTACATATTTTATACATAAAGCAGTTAAGCTTTAATGGCTTCATGCAAAATTGATAAGCTCTTTTCAATCAATTTTATGTGTTTAAATTTCTAATAAGTGATTGACATTTTAACTTGACTCTGCTTTCATTTATATGATTGAATTTTTCATTACTAAAATAACTTTATTTTTACTTTTCTGCTTTTTTGCAAATTTTAGGGGACATTCGTTGGACAGTTGTTACTTCTGACATATCGAACGCTGAAGAGAATCGTGAAAATTTAATATTTTGCGATTTCCTGCCAGCCAAATGGTATCAGTTGCGTATATCAGCTACGAACGATGCTGGCAAAACCACCGAACATTACCACTTTTCCACAACGAATCTGGATGGTGTAACTATTCCACCACCTTCAGTTTTCCCATCGGAAAATGATTTGATGAACAATCTGATAAATGCGACAAATCCCACCAACGGTGATTGGTTCTCAACGTTAATAGTAATTGTCATTATAACCGTGGCCATTATCACAATGTAAGTATGGCAAATGTTCAGGTCTATGTCTCTATAACTAACTGCACATACACACACAAAAAAATAATGTAATGAAAAAATGTTTCACCCGTACTCTACTCTTAAGATTAGAAGTTAAATTGATTCACAAAGTACGTTTAACAACGACTGGTCAAGTACGAAGGGTGGGCATATTGCAAATCTGCCGGATACTTACTTCGCTTTCAGTTCACAGCTCAACCGGTTTATCTGTTCAAGTATTGAGTAAAAATTATAATAACGAAATCCTCCCTCGACATTAATTAGTCGCCATGTTAATTAGGAAATTATTTCACTGGGTTTTGTGGTGAATTAGTAACGCATGAATGGGTCTCCAATGGAAAAAGCGTATTAACGTTTATTTTGCAATTTGTGCTCCATGAAATTTTAATAGAAGTTCGTCTGGGCATTTTTCAAATTCCTGCATCATAATAAGATTAGAGTCTGTAAATGTTGAAAAAAATTTTTTAAAATACTTTAAATGTCAATTTATTTTTGACGAATCGACTTTTACGCGAGCAGGAAATTAAGTTCGGCTTATGACAGACAAATAGTAATTAAGCGCAACTTAAATTCATTATAATTCAATGGAAATTATTTAATGGAAATATAAAGCTTATATTGGATTAAGGCCTATTGTAATAATATGAGGAGAAAATTATATAGATCCACTACTTTTATATCGTCATCAATAATGAATGGGTATTCAGCAATTCTTTAAAAGTAAAATCTCTTAACAAGCTGTGTTTTTCTCTGGAGAGACTCGTATAAGAATGTAGTAAGCAATAAAATTATTATCATAACAGTTTCTAATTATTTATAGGGAGATTTCGGTTTCTCCAGTGCCAGATTCAACAAAGCGTTTTGGTGTTCTGAGTAGTATTTTTTATTTAATCACAAGTAGTAATCTAATAAGAAGTGGGATTGACCACATAAACGACTGGTACTAGGCACAGATGGTTGAGGTTATCATATTGAAACTTGCAATATTAAAACTCCATAACTCCAGAACTTAGTTATATCAAGATAAAGCATAGTAGAATTGTCGCAAAGAATATAGAAATCAAATAAAATTTGTTTTCAAATGCATAATTCTCTGCTCGTGGCACCCGATTTATTCGTATGTAAATATATCAAGGTATATTTGTTAGATCTTAATCTAATATGTCGATTAGTCTAATTGTTTCACTAAGAGACACAACTTATATGCTTATTGTTTCAAATTTCTCATTGAGATAAAACTAACTCAATGATGATACTCTTAACATTGCATCGAGGTTGTAGCATCTTACCTGTCTATGAAAACATCTTTACAAAATCGAATTGTATCCCATCATCTGTGGGCATTATGCTCTATTGTGAAGAACATTAAAAAATTTTTTGATTATTTTATATAAAGACTTAAAACAATATTCATTTATTGGTACTTACTGCTTATAAGCCAATCTTGTCCACCTTTCATAACTAAATAAGTGATAAGTAAAGAACAATCAAATTAACAAATAAATAATTCATAGAGATTAAATTCTGTATAATGCTTCGTTTATTTTTTCCTTATTTCAAAGTTTATCACATTCTTCACTAAATAGTATCTTAAATTAAATTTCATATCAATACAAATGAAGTTAATTAACGTCGATAAAACTTCTATTCGCAGTGCTTTAACAATTAAGCATAGACGAACATTGTGCGGTCCAATGGCCGAGGGATACGAGTCAAGAGCTCTGCCGGGTGATTACAAAGAAGACCACGACAATCGACGCAATCAGCAAGTGTACAGTGCATCACCTGTAAAGACAGTAGACAAGGCAAATGAATCAGGTAAGTGCTCAACTGCAAAGCTAACCAATTGAAAAGAAGCTTAAGGCTACATTGTTGCGTACTATGCACATGACGTGATTGTTTCTTTAGTTTACACTCAATGACATATACTTCCTTTGCACTTTCATTTCACCAAAACCAATAGAAATGTATGAGATATCGCCATATGCAACATTTAGTGTAAATGGTGGGCGTACAGGTGCACCAGCTAAAACACCACCCTCTCGTGGTGTTACTGCAACTCCATTGGATTATACAATGCAATTCAAAACATTTGGTCATCCCGAAGGAGACAATCTTAATGCAACTGCATATCCACTTTTGCCAAGCTCTGGTTTTGGACATGTAAAATCAAAATCTAGTTGGCATAAGCAACGTTATTTCAATACAGATGGTAAATGCATGATTTCCATGGTTTGATGTTCTCTAATTAAGTTGATTGAGTATAGATGAATCTACACTTTCTAAATCGATGACAATGGTAGCGGGTTCACAGTCAGGACATTCTAAGAAATCAACACGAAATGATGGTAGTCGTGGAAATAAAAGTAATAGCAGCAGTAGTGGTGGCGCTAATGCAGATGGACATTGTGAATCGGAGTCCGATACTAGTATTAGTCCTAGCACTGAGTTCTCTAATATGCCTACGTATAGAGTTCCTTGTAAGTCAACGCGTGGCAATGATGGACGTGTTGCAGTAGGTTCGTATGGCAGTAGGCGTGACGGCAGTTCAATAACAAAACTGAAATCTGTCGCACCCAACCCATACTTTTTTTCAGATATGTTTCGACCTGACTCGAGTACGGAGTCTAATAATGATCAGGCTTCACCTGTAGAGAGACGCATCAATACTCCGCGTCATATTGGCAATAACAGTGGTAGCAGTGGCAATAGCGGTATTCTCGTTAGTGGTGGAAATGGCGGTCCAACTGCTGTTATTGTAGATAAACGAGGTCATCGCAGTCGCAAAACATTGTCAACGAAAGACAACCATTCCTTGGATAGGCGATTGTGCCCCGGAAGTAACAACAGGTAGTTCAGGTACCTAAACCCCAAACTCCAAAACAAAAAATAAAAAAAAACAAAATTTCAATTAAAAACAAAAGTAAAAGAAAACTTTTTAAAAATCACAATTTTAAGAATGTAAATATCTTTTAAATTGTTTGATTCTAAATGTGTTTAAACAGTTAGCCTCAGGGTAGAGATAAGCAAATTTCAACAGAAGTTAATGAATTTTATTTTTGAAGTAGAAAAGTTTTTCATAACAAAAGTTGAAGTGACTACAGTTTCAAAGTACTGTTCTTTTCTTTCAGGTTTTAGGTATTCTAGATAGAATAATACAGAATGTCGTATGAAATATTAGTGAGCTTGTTGGTAGTAATATACTAAAATTTTTTTGTGACCAAAAAAAAAGATTAGTTAGACATCAAAGACTCAGACTTTCTGTGCGCTATTCTATTGAGCATTACTTATTCAGATATAAATCGATAAAGTTCCTATTAAAATTAGGAAGATATTGATACTAGGTAATTGTTCTTATGTCTCAGTTGTTACTAAGAGTACATAAAATGTTTTGCGGGAGCTAGATAAGCAAGTGACTGAATTTCATAAATCGTTGCAATAGACTAAATATAGAGATATATTGGTAATCGAAATATATCTTTCTTTTTGCAATTCACAATTCTAGAATTCAGTTTTGGATACTACTGATAGAAACCATAACCCTATCAGTAGGGTAGCCAACTCACAATAGGCACTTAAATTTTTTTTTTGGAGAGTCTTAATTATATGTTTAGTCTGTTAAAAAACCAAGTATCTCCAGGATACTACTAAAAGTATCAAGAAGATACTTTTATTCCGGTTAGTGAAAAGTGACACTGTTTAAAAAGATTTTAAGTTTTGATACACCTAGCATAATCAAAAGATATTTAACAGTCTTCCTTTCTATATAATCTTCTTTTGCGAGTTAGATTCTAAAACTTCATGACTCAATAATTAGCAATAAATATAGCTAATATATATTATGTCCACATATATATTAGATATGTATTTATAAATTTTAAAGATTATGCATTAAATTTTTTAAAATATTTAGCACTTTTATATCAGTACATAACTATTTTAATTAAATATACTATATAAAATATTTATTGAAGATATCAGTCTCACTTAGAATTTTTTTTTTAAATAATATTTATATATAATATGTCTTCATGTATTTTTGTATTATAAAAAAGTTTATATTTATTTAGAAATCTTTAAATTTTACTTTTATGTGTATTATTTAATAAGCATTATAAGAATCTGAAATTTTAACGTCAAATATTAGTTTTTTTTTCAATTAAAGTAAATCAAAAAAATTTTTATTTTTAATAAAAAATCTAAATTAGTTTTAATTGGCAAAAAAAATTTTATATATTCTTTTTAATATATTTTTTTTATCTTGATTTCTTTCTCGTCCTTTTAACTTTATTTAAAAAAAAACACAAACACACTCAAAACACTAAACATCCACGGACACATGCACAATATTAAATAACCAACAGTTTAGACAGTGAGGTTAACTCCGACACAGCGGCCTCATTGGCTGCCACCATTGTAGCGGCCGGAGCTGGGGATTTGGGTTTTCGTCCACCGTCGGGTTTTACAGATTCACGTGAATTTAGCGAAGCGGATTTAGACTTGGAAGTGCAACGTGTAATGGAAAACACCGACGGACAATTGGCTAAAATGGATAGGGAGGAATTAACTTCACTGTTGGCAAGGTGAGTTATTGGACAATTTGAATTGAAGGTAGCGTGGGTGGCGGAGGAGCGTACAAATTGCATTTTAATTAGTTTCGTAAAATATTAACTTTACTTAGTCGCTGCATTATACACAAAGCTTCCAAGAAATTTGTTGATTAAATAATTCATTTTTTCTTTCTCTCTATATTGTCCATAATTTGTTCACCTTTCCGCTGTCAGGTATCATGAGAAGAAGGAACAGGAGCGGCAAGAATATACAATACATGTTTGAAAATAAAGTAACTATTTTAAAATCAAATAAAATAAACTAGAATAAGGAGTACATAAACAAAGCAAAAACTAATAAAAACTTATTAAAATTTATTCAATTCTAAAGAAAAAAAATAGCATGGAATACTACATAAAAATTTAAATAAAAACTCAGAAAAACCTGCATTTAAGCGCATAAATCGTAACTTTAACACTGCTAAATCTAAAAGGATTATAGGCCAATATACATTATTATAATTCGATTTATTCTTATACAAATCTTTATTGAAGACTTGTTTTACGCTGGCATGAACATGAAGGATAATGCATCCTTTGCACTGAGAACATGTCAAAATTAAATAAACTTTTTTAAATGTTATTGAAAAAAATCAAGGAGATCTTTTTAAAATGTTCTTTATTATGTTTAATACGTTGTGATAATATTAATGAAATTGATTGTTTTAATTAAAAATGCTAAAAGTGTAAAATATATATTAATATTTACTAAAATTAAGTTTAGTTAAAATTATGAAAATACACACAGAAGAGTTTAAAAAATATACTTTTTATAATTTAAGTTAGTTAAAATTTCTTTATCATATATCATATATAAATTTGTACATTTTAGTTCCATATATTTTTGGGTGTATTGTTAATAACATATTTATATCATTTGAAGTATTAATTTCAGAGTGCCAACTAATTTTATAATTAAGGTTTTTATATAAAAATCGTACGAATTTTTAAATATTTTGTTTTTAGTTTTTAATTAGCCAACAAAAAATAATTATAAAAATAAATAATATTTATTAATTTTCTTATTTAGAATTTATGAAGTAAAGATTAAACCAATAAGTAAAAAATTATTGAACTATAAGTAACTGTTTCTCAACTACTTATATTATATATTGTATTAAAACGATTGTAATTTATATTGATGTAAGAGTAAAATAGATAATCACCAATAAAATTGTATGAAAATTATTGATTAAAAATGGAAAATAAATTGAGATAGTGAAATATAAGCCCTGAGTTTTAAATTATTATTTTTTTAATGTAGTTGTTTTAAAAAATGATTTTTTAGATTATTTCAATCTGAACCTTTTTTTTCTTCAAATTATAGAGGCACTTTACAATCTGTTAACATGCAGGATTTAGATATGATCTCTAACCCAGTGGGACTACACCAGTTATGCTTGCTATTAAACTTTAAAGAATTCTGCGATATTATTTTTTTTTTGTTTGATTTAGTTTTCGATAAGCTTTTAAGAAGGTTACTGGTAGATACAGAGTACATTAAACATCGTTCACTGAAACTGTTCAACATAATAGACAGTCACAATAACTCAACGCTCAACATCCTAAAAATACAGCAAAATATGATAAGCACAGGCAGATATAATATAAAGACATTCAATACATCATTTCATAAAGCCACCGTATTTAGTTATTCTTAGTATGACTTAAAACTGTCCACAGGTAAAATAGAGTTAAGGTGATATATGGTACCACCAACTCAGGTACAAACGCATACATAACAAAAGTAAACGCTGTTATAAAAAATAAGATTTTGATTAAATTTTCATCGTTAGCTTTGAAATACAATATATTACATATATTGTTTATATCTAGCAGTGTTATCCGTTTTAAAGATAATTTTTGTTGACTTGTTGACACATAGCTGGCAAGAGTTCAACCATAACTTTACTCTTGCTTATTAAAATGTTACAAAGGGCCGGAAGTAAAAGGGCTGTCAGTATAAACATGGTCTTATATGTAACATCACAAAAAAATCACATCATCAAAACGCGAAATTATACTTCTCAGAAAAGTTATACTTACTACACAGCCAAAATAAGTTGTGTTTACAGCGTGTGGCGCCAGTCTTGTTAAAACCACATACCTTTCCTATTTAAACTTCAATTTCATGTTAAAAAAATTTGTGCGACTATATCGATCAAAACAGTATGAGTTCATCTCACCTACAGATCAAATACCACACCATACATTTTATGACATTTGCAGGTGCTAATGGAAAAATGTATACGGTTAATAAATGGAGAACGACTTATTTGGAGACCCATTTTTTATCAAGTAATAGTTTCACATTAAACAAAATTACATAAATGGATTTACAATGAACTTTCATGGAATTCTGGATTATTATCAAGTTTTTCAGTAAGGATTTGTTGACATAATAAAATTTTCTATTAATATTGGTATTTTTAGTATCAATTATTAAGTCCATTAAGTCTTATTTACTGTTTTTACAACACTTAACCGCGTTTAGGGCTCTAATTGGTCTTTTAATCAGATACCGCGTTTAGGGCTCTAGTTGTTGGTCTTTTAATCAGATATCAGCATATTCATTGGTTAATACAACATTGATGCCATGATATAGGAACATTCCTAGTACTTGAACGCGAGTGGCTTTTATATATATATGTTATATATGAACTTGGGGATAATTTCAGTTTATTTTATATTTATTAAAACTATATGTGTAAAGTCCAATATAATTTATTTAGGTATCACATTTTAATTTTATTTAAATAAAACATTTAAAATATATACCAATTTTACACTAAGTGAGCGTGAATGTTTTGAAAAAATATTTCATATCGAATTGAATAATAAATAATTTTAGAAAATTTTTAAAACATTTTCTTCATTAGCATATAAATAAATTTCCTTCTAATACTTTAACTAAAGCAAAATGATAAAAGAGTACTTGGACAAAATTTTTGAAAAAAACAAAAATGTCTCCAGTGAGACATATGACACGTCAACACTTGGTGAAATACCCGCAGATGTAATATCACCTATGCGGGAATCTACTATGGATAATTCCAGTTCTAAGGATTCGGGTGCACAGTATGTAACACTTAAAAGTATCAAGGAGGAGCATAAAATAAAGGTGAATATGATGAACATAGGTGCTTTGATTCTAATAGGCGCATCTATTAGTACTTTAACTGGCTTGTATAAAGGGGTTCGAAAGGTACTGAGTCATAATAACACTGGCAAAATCTACACAATTTTATTAAACCATGTAGTAAAGGAAGGCGCAGGCTTGTCTAACACTTTAGGAATTATTGGAGTATACTATAGTGGGTGTTATATATTGTTGAATAGATTCCTCCCAAAGTCTAATGATGATACGAATATGTTTATATCCGCTACAAGTTCTGGTTTAATATTCAAATCAACATTTGTTGGTGGTGCAATAGATCTGTGTGGTTCAACTGCTTACTATATGTACAACAACTTCAAAAATAATGGTTTCAAAAATTGGAAGGAAATCTGAATTTTTTACATTTTCCCTTATAATTATTAAGTAATAATAAAACTGTTTGCTTTGTCAACATTTTGAATTTGTTAAATATGTTATTCTTAAATCTTGGATATTAAATTTTCCATTGGTCCCAAAAACAGTAAAGAGGGAATATTTATTCTTTTTTTATTTTCTATTATTCCTTTACAGATGAATAAAAAATAGTGCTGTTCTAATCCTAAGATAGAAATTCATCGTCTCTATCCAGCTTAACTAATTTTTTAAATTACAAATCTTTTTAATATTTAAGACTATGTCTGTAGAAAACCATATACTGATGTAATATTGACAACTTGTCTAAGCATGACTAGACTTGTCATAACCTGTAATAGCCATTTATTGTCAAAGAAAAATAAAATATTGCATATTTATATTATTGGGCATTATGAACGTCTATATAGTTAAAATAAAATATAATATGAGGTATAAATTTCCATTCAATAAAACTTAAAAATATTTAATAAACACACAAAACTATAGAACCGAAAAGTATTTTTAATCCCTCAAGAGAGAAATCGGGGAAAAGGATTTAAACAGCTCATTGAGGTGAACTCATTTCTAAACTCGATTGTGTGTTGAGTGTGGGAATCTTTTTACTTCAAAAAGATAAATGAAGTTCCTTTCACTTTGCAAACTCGTCTAATATCTTCCAGGGCGCAATCTAGAGTTGGGCTAAGCTAAGCTAATTTCGGAAAATCTACAAAATCAGCAGATTAGAGGTTTTGTTAATGATGGAGCAGCAAATATTGCACTGTTCAGCAATAGTACAAAATCAAAGCTAGTACAGCTGTAGAAAACTCAGCTGAGGTCACTGATGTCACCAGTGATAAATTATTATCATAAATATTTCCTTAATATTACAATATGGTTTCAGTTTTATTTTTATAGATATATAATATAGATATAAATATATAATAAAAATCCTATTCGGCGGAGCCAAGATTGCACTGACAAAGCTTAAGCCATCCAAAAATTTTTAAATCGAAATGTAGAGGCCTCACGAAAGAAGAGCAAAAACATGTAACTAAACTATTTCTTTGTAAACGCCCACATATGTTTTCTCAAAACAATTTTTCTTTATTAATCGGTCAGTTTGATTTTAAGACTAATATATTTATGGACTGTAGTAACAGTAATAACAAAACGTCGTTTATGGGCTGTTTGAACAGACGAGAATATTCTGCCAATAAACAGACGAGAACCAACCAATTATCCTTTTTTTCTACAACGTAGGGCTAAATATATATAAGATATTTAGCCAGTTGATCATTATTGATTAACCTCAAACGAAATTTGAAGTACTCAAAATAAGATAGGCCACTGTAACTCCAGGGAATTTGATCTAGTAGAATTGTTTTTTTTTCTCTTGAATATAGGATAGGACATAAGTAAGGGAATTTGTTTATTTACCACTGAGCTCAATTCTAAAAGAAAATTACTTATATTTTTTTTTAAATCGTCATTAAATGCTAATGTTATAAATATTTTTGTAATTTTTTCAAAAAGTAAGAAATATGATACCAATATATTTTCCTTATATATATGAGAAAGTTTAATTAAGAAGAAGAATATAATTATGAGAAGTATTAATTATTTTTTATTAATTTTAATTGTTTTCTTTGCTCCGAATTTTTTTATATAATAAATGTAAAAAATGCTTATATCAACAAAGAAAGAAAAAAACTAATAAAAGTA